ACAAAAGTCTTCTGTCACGCGCCCCGTGACATTGTCATTCTCATTTGAGTGAGTGTGTCAGTAAGACTTGTGTTTTGTCAGAAAAACTTACTTGTAACGAGTACTATTTTTCTATCTCTAGTCAATAACATAATGATATATGGAAAATTTATTTCATATGTCATTGCGTTATGGACCGAAAATTGCAAAAAGTGATATTTTCGTTGCATAAAAGTCTTTCTCAGGCAGCAGGTGATCATGACCGTTGTTCTCCTATTTTTCCTCTCTTTCGTTTTTTCGTTGAAATTTTTCTGTATTAGTCCGTGAGTTGATTTTGACCGTTGATGTGCTGTGAGTTTTATAAACGTCAACGTTAAAATTAACACTTGCGTACATGAAGAGGTCCAAGGAGGGGGACTCAGGAGACAAATGTAAATGACATTATAAGCGCTAATTTCTAAATAGCTTTTAAGTGAATGTGGAATTATACAAAGTTGTATTATTTTAAGAGTGAGATATGGAGAACTAGTCGTATTTATATTTGATTTTTAATTCGATCACTATCATTAGTATAGTATTGTATTAATGATCACTAATAGACATTGAATGAAAGAAGTTATCGTTTGTTCTTATTTTCATAATTATTCAAAATGATGAATCCACCAAGGAAGAAGCAATCAAAAGAAAGGTTCGACTCCTGCGACCTAACGCTAGCCTTATAATTCTGTGCAGTAATTTTCATATTTGGAATGCGTTAGAACATTCATATGTTATTTAAAATAATGCGATAGACGAATTCGCAATGTTGAAATTTTGTATGCGCTAATTATGTGGATGTGTCCACCAAACAGATATTTTTAATGAAAACAATTATTATATACTATCCAAATGATAATATGCTCAATTTAAAATATAATTGGGTCTAAAAAAACCATATATAAATTATTTAAAGTATATTTTCTAATAACATATGATTCCGAAAGTGCTCGTTGACATTAGGTTTGGAATTTTTTTTTTCCCCACTAAAAAAATATCAACTATAATGTATGAACATCATATTATTTTATTTCTGGATCAATTATGCAGTGATAAAATCCAATACATAAATTAATATATCTTTAATATAGGATTATCATGATTAATTAGCATACTTATAAATAATCATACCTAAACTTTGGGAGTTAGGCGTTGTCCAAAGAATCACTAATCTTAGAAAATTTGCGTCATAAGTAAGAGGTTATGATGAGTTGCATGCATGTGTTGTTAGGTAAGATAGATAACAACTAAAGTCGATCTAAAGCATGCATGCATTTAAAAATAATACGTATTCCATGTTCGGCCATTTATTTTTAGCTAAAACAATCTACTTGTTGCTGTCTAGCTCGTCCTTGCTTCATTACATATATATATTCTCTCATAATGAATATTGTATTATTAATTTCCTTTATCCCATTAATTTATTTTGGACGGCAGTATATATTTAATTCAGCATAGATAATATTAAAAATAATAAGTGAAGCTAACTTGTATAGCATGACTAGCTGGTATAAGGAGAGAAGTATAGACAATTTGAAACCATATATATTGTAAGTCAAATAAACAAAAATATGGCTGGCAAATGTCATGGCGTGTCTCTTTCAAGTCATGACATTTGACACTATAATGATTTATTGTTGTGAGCCGCACTTATGGATTTAGCAATTTACGATGACTCTGGAATGTTAGATTCATGAGCAAAAGATGCATTTGTGGACGCTGATTATGTTCAACTCAGACATCTTAATTATGTGTTAAATTAATTTGAAATAGATCTAATATTGACCTAAGCCAAAATTTCTACGGAAAAAAAGTAATTGGGAAAGCATAAAACTCGAACAATCTAGGTTTGAAAAAGAGGTCAAGGCACTTTTGCATGTTAGGTAGGAAGGTGCAACGACAATGAATCACAAGAACATTTTCAATATGTCACTTACAATAATATTAAGAAATTCAATCGATGTGACCCCTTTTTTTTCCTTCTATAAAGCCATGAATATATGTCACATGATTGATCTATATATATACTCTAAAATTTTCCATGGACCACAATTAACTTTACCAGAAGACTCCACATTGGCAATTTGGCAAATATATTCGAATCATAAGCGTATCAATGTCAGCGATGAAATATTATTTTTCTAATTGTCTACTTAATTAAAATAATATGAGAGAGCCTTGTTTGTCAAACACACCCTTAACTTTGCTTTCTTGTGTTTTTATCCATTAAAAAAAAATTATAAAAAAAAAGTTGGTCTCACCCGACTATGGCAATAATGCAATGCAAATGCGTCCAAATTCAGATTTACTTTAAAGCAAATTTCACATGGTTTCTATTCTAAGTGTCATTATCAAATATATAACCTGCATGCATGACCACAGAGCGAAGCTAGAATTGTAAAGTTAGGGGGCCGAAGTAGAAAATACAAGTATATAAGCACTTAAGCATTCAATAAAAATATATTTAGAGTTAAATATTTATAATTTAGTCATGTATAATCTGTTTTAGAGGGATCTATAACTTAAATTATAAGTTGTTTATTACAAATTCTATATATTATATTTAATATAATAGAGAAAAGATAAAAATATGGGGGGCTAAAGCCACTTCAGGCCTAGGAGTGGCGCCACTCCATGGCAAATTTATATGATGCCTTAACTTCAGATCAGCTTTGGCAAAAAGTTTAAATATGTATATTTTTAAGGCCATTAAAGTTGAAATATTGTATAAAAATGCCTAACTATTGGACTGATGTAAAGCTAATGGGTTCTTCCTTTATTAATGAACTTTGACTTTCTACACAATAATGATGTTTATGGATTTTTTTATATGTGAATGTTCAGCCTTAATCTCAAGATGTTTTAGAACCTGATAGTGTTCCAATAATACCCCCATGCTGCGAGATTAGGAACACTTAAACAAAGGTTGAGTTTAGATTAATGTTCTAATTATTGCTACGCATTACTCTAAACCCATGTGACGTGTACGTATGATTAACTGACGTGGCATGAATATATTTCCTTGATTATCATATCACACTACAATTCGTAATTCAATACCTCACTTCATTATCTCATATCGGTTCACTATCTAACCTATTCCTAACTTCCTCTATTCTACGTAGGTTAAAATGCCATAAACTTTTAATAATATTATAAGTGCCTAATTTTGGGTTTGTTTGGGAGTGCTTCTGGATAGACTCAAAGTGTTTTTTTGACAACTAAAAGCACTTCTGACAGCGTTTAGCAGAAAAGTTTAGAAATGCTTTTGGGTCATAAAAACGCTTTCTGGAGAAACACCTATTAAGTGCTTCTTCATTTGCTTCTTCAGGAAGCACTTGGATTTTTTTATGAAAATTCAAGAATTTTTTAATAAAAGCACTTTTGTTAGAAGCAATTATGAGCACAAGCACTTTCTAGAGAAACAATCACAAACGAGCCCTTAATTGTTTAGTCTCTTGAGCAGACATTTATCTTCATTTCGTGGAAAGGACGATAAATTTTAAATAATTTGACCACAAAAGGAAGCCAATTATAGCACGATTCTGAAGCAGTCACTTAAAAAACAAAAAAAAACAAAAACCCTTCCTGAAAGGCCAAAGTTCATTTATACGTCCTGCTTTTCTAGCAAGGGAAAAAGTTTAGACTTTAGAGAGCTTTTACTTAATTCTCCTTACCTTGCAACACGGGACCATTCTAAGATACAATATTGTGAATTTTCTTGCCCTAGCTATGACTTAGCGACCGTCCATAATAATATGAACATCAATTAAAATACATGAAAATGTGATGGACCAAGAATCACATTGCACAAAATAAAATGTTACCAAGGTTGAAATTTTGGGGACTAATCTCTATATTCTACGGAACCCTAACCACAAAAGTACTTATTGTTGATGGAAAATGGAGAAAATTCAGTACATGGTTTTGGAAAATTGAAGCTTTGGTGAAGCTTTTTTTTAATACTAAAAGAATTCACAAGTTATGACTTTGTTTAAGGTCCTCGAGATTAACGTTAAGTCGTATGCCAAATATGACCGACCCACATTCATTTATCGGCCACATGGTATCTCATTTATAAAAAAAAAATTATTTGGTGACTATGTCTTTATTTCCTTTGGTAATTTGCTTGTATAATTGGGGAAGAAATTGCTACATACCTAAATTTCAGCCAAATTCCTCTTCTCTAAAATGGCATTTTTAAAATCGATATCTAATCCAATTAAGTCTATTTTTCATATTTCACACCCTTCTCTCGAATTGAATAAAACTTTGAATCGGATTAGATGGGCCTATTTTTTCGGTTTGGTTGGATTTTGAACAATCTTAAGAATAAACAACCTCATGCACCTCACTTCTCTTAAGCCAAAGGGTCAAGTTTTAAGGATACAACTCCTCTAGACTCACTATAAAAGGCACACACTTGCAACATCATTTAAAGGTAATGTTTATTCAAAAGTAAAAAAGAATTTTGATTATGTGTTCTTTCCATTTCTCTAAGCATCCCTAAATTTTTCTAAGCTCGACCAATCGAAAGGTTTTAAGAAGACATCCAAAGTAGTACCGTATTGGTCACAATGGTCAATCTCTTCTTTTGCAAGGGATCTTTGGTCAAATTTTTAACCATTAATTATACATTAATTACTAGTTTTTAGTATATATGAAGTATATATCACTTTTTTTTTGGTCATTCAAAAGTTTGAGTGAACGACCTCAAAGGAATTATAGAACAATTTATATTTCTCCAAGTGTTGGCCACAACAAATTGATTACTAAGTCTAGTAAGTTTTTGTTCTACCAAATAAAGCTTGTCATTGCCACGTGAAGTTGAAAGTTGAAAGGGTTTTTAACTGTAGACGTCCTTGAACTTTTCCCCTAGTTGCAATTGGGTCTGTGAACTTTTTTTTGAGGTAGTTACATCCTTTAACTTCACAAGTAGTTCCAATTAGGTCCTGTCATCCAAGTCTGTCAATTTGTCCATCAAAATGAGGGGTAAAAGCGTTCTTTTGAGTTCCAAGATTCTCCTTTGTTGGATAATCTCGCGTGTGAACCTCCATACTCTCTCCTTCTCATTCTCCTCCACATTCACCCCCATCCCCCTCAAGCTCTCCTCCTCCTCCGCGTTGGCTGACGTGGCCAAATCCAACAACACCCTCAAAACCTTCTCCTTCTCCTCCACATTCACCCCCATCCCCCTCAAGCTCTCCTCCTCCTCCGCGTTGGCTGACGTGGCCAAATCCAACAACACCCTCAAAACCACCGCCGGTGATGTAGAGAAGATCGGGAAGTTCTTCGACAAGCCGTCAGTCTTCGACTTCTTCATCAATCCCACCATCGACCTCGACAAGAAGCGCAAGGCCCTCGACGAAATTGCCAAGTCCTCCACCCTCTAGCCCCACACTGTCAATTTCCTCAACATCCTCGCAGACGCCAAGTGAATCGACCTCATAAACAACATTGTAAAGCAGTTCGAGGTGGTTTACAACCAGACATGGAGCTGGCCATCGTGAAAACTCCAATATACCCCTCACAACAAGAGCACGTACCATTCACACGGTCAAACTCGATGGATTCTGTTACGGCAAGACCCATTTGGAAATACTTGTCGAGTTAAAAGATGTAATTGCCTTAAAAAAAAAAAGTTCATGAACCCAATTACAACAGGAGGCAAAATTAAGGGACGTTTACAGTTAAAAATCCAAAGTTGAAACCACTAATCAAAGATGCATGAATTTTGCCATGAAACATCGAAGTTCTTTGAGGTATTTTTCTTATTAGTAAAAAAAAAGTTAAAAAAAATTATGGGTCTGGGTGAATTATGTCATACTCATTTTGCTACTGGTCGATCATTCACACCACAAAAATCCTTTTATTTTTATTTTTATGAAAATGATATTTATCTCTTCCTTCTCCCCTTCATTTTTCTTTTGTAATTATTTTGGTAATTTATGATTGACTTTCAACTACATTAATAAATGCTTGGTAGAATATTGGACTTCCAAAACTGTAAATAAGTTCACCAATAATGACTTGGCACTTGGCTTGGAAATTATAAAACAAATAGGCCATCGCTTTCATAAAAAAAAAACCCTAACCGCACTCTGGCCCCCTTTTTCCTTGCCGACAACCAACCGCAAGGAAGCTAAGGGGGGATTGTGTCTCTCCTCGGGAGAGTTGTGATACCCGGTGGCTGATGTTTTGTCTCTGTTTCAAAGTCGGCAGCAGCAGCGATGCTGGTGGTAGTTGTTGGGATGTGATGCTCTGCGCCGACCAAAGAACTATGCTTGGTCATTGGAGGTTTTCTTTGTCCGGTTCTGAGTTGAAGTAGAGTGCTTCTCAGGGGTCCTTTTACTGTTGTTTATGTGTTTCTCCTACGTGTTCTCTACTGGTTTATGCTATGGTATGCCTTGCAGTTTGTGTGGGTGTCAAAGGACTATGATTTTGCTCATAGAATGCTTCTTTTGACAGTTGGGATGTTCTACGGTCCTCTCATGTGGGTCTACTGTGTTGGTCTATAATTGCGATTCTCATCGGAGGTCTATGTGTTAGTTTTTGTTTTTGATTTGTTCTTTTATTGTAATGGTCCAAAGTGATCTGAATCGGACTCTCTTGTTAGTCCATAACATGTGTGGTGCTCTTTCCTCCCATGAGGTTTGTCTTATGAAGTTGTCCTAGAAAGATTTTAACGAGGCCACTGTATCATGTCGTTCTTTGTACGTCTTTAGTTCTATAAATGAATTCTCTTTCTTAAATAAAATAAAATAAAATAAAAAGGCCATTCCTCATGTTATCTCATAATAATGAGTATTGTGTAAATTTACAGAATTATAAAGACATAGCCCAAAAATACATGTATAAATGTTATATTTAGTTATTTATTAATTTATGCATAAGTACATTTTGTTACACATAAAATAAATAATACATTGTGGTTTGAGGTTCAAATCCCTTCATAACACATTAGTAGTGTGTGTGCGAAAACTCCTCTTTCCCCCTTCCTAATTTTGACAAAAATAAATGATACATTGTTTGTGCAGAGCCATTATTTTATATCCCATCAGCACTGAGCGGGCTAAAGGCTTTGGATTCTTTGTGGTGTTGGAGAAGAAAGAGACCAAGTAAGGGGGGTAGACCTGGGAGAGGAAGGCCTATTATTACTCTATTTGTTTATGATGGAAAGTTCTGATAGGCTACTAGGCCTTCTAGGCTCCCATTCCTAATCAAACACAAAGAGGGGTTAGAAAAAGTAGTGATGATTGAAATTAGAGAGCCTGTCCTTTGACTTGTGCTCTCCTCAATAAATAATATCCCCAGCAGTCACCAAAAAGTCCTTCATTGAAACAAGAGGTAAAGGCAACAACTTCCACACAAAGTATTCACCACAAGCCTATTTGAAAGGGTCTTCTTCTCTTCTCTTGGTCACTCAGCAGCAGGCAGAGATCAGAGGCACAGAGAGAGAGAGAGAGAGAGAGAGAGAGAGAGAGAGAGATGGGGAGAGCTCCTTGTTGTGACAAGGCAAATGTGAAGAAAGGACCATGGTCACCTGAAGAAGATGCGAAGCTAAAAGAGTACATAGAAAAATATGGGACTGGAGGGAATTGGATTGCTCTTCCACAGAAAGCTGGTAAGATTTTCATTTTTCATTTTGCTTATTTTGAACATGTAATCATTTTGATGATATGTGTTTGTATGGTTTCTTTCCATCCTTTTCTGGTTTTGTCCCTATAGTCTACAGTTTGTTTGTGATAATTACTGAATGGCTTTTGGTTGTTTTCAACTGCAGGTCTTAGGAGATGTGGGAAGAGTTGCAGATTAAGATGGCTTAACTATCTGCGGCCCAACATCAAACATGGAGAATTTTCTGATGAAGAAGACAGGATCATCTGCAACCTCTTTACTAACATTGGAAGCAGGTACCTTATAATTTCTCACCCATTTTTTTGTTGTCAAATATCCCTTTTTTCCCCCTCAGCTTTCTCTTTTTCCTTCATATATTTCTGGGTCCAGTTCTTTACCATTTTCCCCACCTGGGTTTTCAATGTTTGTTCTTTGACATCATCTATAAAGAAAAAAGAGTGTTTGGGACAGAAGAAAAGTTACATGTACAAAGAAAATATACCATATGAAGATACATTTTAATTTCTTCAGTTCATTGCTTGCATGCCAAGTTTAGATCTTTTATGATAATATGCAGTCACAGTTTCTTGTGCTCAGTCACATTTCTTCTCATGGAACTTAACCACATCAATGCGCAGGTGGTCCATAATAGCAGCTCAGTTGCCAGGCAGGACTGACAATGATATCAAGAACTACTGGAACACCAAGCTCAAGAAGAAACTCATGGGATTAAATATGCTTCCATCCCAGATAAAATCCCACTCAGGCACCTTCTCATCTCTTCTTCATCTTCAAGCTTCATTATCATCATCTTCACCATCATCATACAGAGGGAGCAACAACAGCACTGCTTATTATGCACAAACCAGGTCTTTCTCTAGTGCTTTGGAGCCCATTTCATTTTCACCAAGTCTTCTGAGCAGAAGCTCAACTAATGCTGCTTCTGTTCTTCATCAAGTGCACCAAGAGAGGTTTGTGGGTAGAGCCATGCAGCATAATTACCAAGTCAAAGATAACATCTTGATGTTTGGGGGTGAAGCAAGTTGCAGCTCTTCTGATGGCAGTTGCAGCAACCAGATCAGCCAGTGCAGAGACAGAGAGTATGAATATAATTACAATTTCTTCAATGGTGGGGAAGGGCACCAGAAAATCATGCTACCAGATGGGCTTAATGGGTGGAGATCAGAGAAGCAGAATGGCAATGGGATTTGGGAAGATCAAGCCCCATTAGATTATGGCCTTGAAGAAATTAAGCAGTTAATTAGCAGTACCAGTAGTTGCAACAACTTTTTGTTTGATGAAAACAAGACAGAGGAAAAGGCCATGATGTACTACTGATGCTGACTGTGAGTAAAATCAAAAAGATTTGAAGAAGTAGAGGAAGGGATGGGTTGAAGATATTCAGATTTGGACTGGGTTTTGGGTGGAGGGGTTAAAATGTTTCTGATAATGGATGCACTTTCTTGACAGTACATGGTAAAAAAGTTTCCTTTGTGCATTTCTTTTTGGGAAATGATGTATTTATGTAAGTACAGTTTAACTGCACTACCATTAATCAGGCATGCCATGAAAATCAGAGAGAAAAAAACCCATCATCTTTTAAGACTGAAACCTGCAATCTTAATGGCCAAGTATCCTTTTTTTAGTCCTTTCTTTTCTTCTTCTTCATGGTCTTAAAAAATTCAACTTGAATCTGGTCCTTAGATCTTTTATGGATATTATCATCTCAGAGTTTTTCTGTTTTTGAGTTAAATTTGTTTTTTAAATGACTTGATGTTAATCCCAATCTCAGTCTTAATAAATTATAGAAGCAACAATATTATAGAATTGAAGGGAGGCATATTATGCCAAAACGAACATCTCATTGGCGTCATCAGTTACATCAGGGCCTCGTTTATGCACTGCCAATGGCACACGTAACATGATAATTTGTCACGGTTGATAAACTAGTGCTCACTATTTTATAATTTTATCTATTTCCCAATATTTTAGCCAATAAATCTATAATTCCCATCTTCCATATATTTTTATATCTTATATGAAAAAGAAATCAATTTATTCTCTCTCCTCCTCTATTTTATCTCTGCTTGTCACCCTTTTCCTCTCTTCCCTGCTAATCACTGGCCAATAACGCTATGATACGTATAATAACATTTTCACATGACATAGCATTATTGGCCAAAGATAACAAAATACTATTATCCCCGTTGCAACTAAATTTTTCTCCTTCCGAACCGGTGCATATGGCATGCATGGTCAGATATTTGGGCATGGGAGCAAATAGGAACACTATTTTGTCTTTAGAGGCCTTGGAACTAACGCTGATTGTGGCATGGGTTTGAGGCTCAAACATAAATTATATTAACATAATTTAAAACTGGGATTTTTTAAATCAGAGCCTGCAGTCAAGCAGCATATAACATGTAAGGTTGGCCGTCAATAATTGATTACACTCTTGATGGAGACTTAAGAGGTAGTGAGAGGAAAGATGCATGCTCGAATTTAGAACCCTAAAAAAGAGAGCAAAAAAAGGGGAACACAACAGAGATTCTCAAGAGGAAAACTGAACCCATTTGTAATGCCAGGGAAGGTTGATGTGTTTTGCTGTTTTGTTTTCCACAAGAAAGACAGAAAGCAAAGATTGAAGATAAATGCATTGCATTGACCTCTTCAACTTGTTTTGTCTGCTTTCTGCTAGTAGATTAGACTAATGGGTTTTGCCAGCTATAGGCATTATATAAAATGGATATTAAAAAAATTTAAATTGTCTTTAAAGCAATGGGGAAAGGTTACTTATTAGGAATGTCTTTTCTAGTGGAATGAAAAAGGTAAAAGTTTGAGGCACCAACTGACCCATGAAGTTTCTAAGCAACTTTTTGCCAAATTATGCTGTGCAGAATGGACTTTTGGATGTTTGCAAGCAAATAGATATATGTGGCTTGTGACCAGCCTGTTGTCCATAGGCAAATAGATATTGCAAATCTACTAATCATAATTCTCCTCCAATCAGTTCTTATCTTGAGTTTTGTTTGGCCAATTACTCAAGAATTTTTTTTGTTTTTCTTTTTAATGACTCAAGATTTTAGCTAATCAAGCAGATTTTAGAGGTCTGATCTCGGGGATTATACGTATTGCTCGAGATACCTATTCATCCCAAAAAAAAGAAAAAAAAGAAAAAAAAAGAAAATCAAAGACAATGTTGAAATTTTGAAGTACATAATAACTATGATTAATCTTCTATAACACATACAACCGCACAATATTTTTTAAAAAGTGGGCAAAAATTTTCAATTAATATTTTCAATGAAAAAGTTCAAATTGAATCTCAATAAAAGGTGAGAAGATTAAGTGGGGTATGTTCTCTTTTGTTCCTTTCCCTTTTCCCAAACATAGAGCTTTCAATACTTTCATTCTAAAAGAAAACCTTTCTGGAGATCAGAAGAAAAGTTGGAAGAATAAAATTGCATTGACCTTCATGAGTAGAGTGCTAAAACGGTCGTTGATTCAGAGCAAGCCATGTCCTCTAAGTACAGGAATTTAAGATGAAGGCCCCCAGTGGCTCTCAGTTCTTAGAAAAAGCCAAATTGCCCTGGACCAAGAAATAACCAAGAAATAATTATTTCAAATTTGGCTGCTTTTCAATTCTTCTTAGTGCAATGAACTTGGCAGCAGATATTCAGTCCAAAAACAGAATTAATGCGAAGCTGAAAATTGGTCCCCCATCTGTATAGGGACTTCAACATTGCTAATTCCTCCTTCTTAGGGCTCTATGATCACATTTCACAGAGTCTCTAAAATTTACTGCTAAGCCTCCTGATGGAAAGGTTGTTAAATTATTTGGACAAATGGAAGAGTAAACATCAAGTAATCAATAAGATAATGACACTTGGCGACACCAATAAGATACATCGATTGGGTATTGTACATGGGGATATTACAGCAATTTTATGTACAACATGCACAAATAATGGTTAGGAAGGGGTGGTGCAATCTTGGCTTTTTACAAGAAATCCCATTGCCAATAAACTTTCTCTACAATTCCTCCACCACTCTTTACAGCAAGGTGAAGTGTTTCAGAAGCAGGAGGAACCCCCCAGAGTAATGGCACTGCAACCGTCATTCTTAGCTTTTCATGCAACCCACCTTTCATTGCTTTCTCTGCAGCAACAACCTGAATTTGACAACATAAAAGGTATATTAATAAACAAAAGCTTATCCACGACACCAGTCTTTGGAGTTCAGGCATGCATAAAAAATTCTCAGCTAACTACGAGATACATGTAAACTAGCCACGATATCAAACGTGCAAAATAACTGTCTATGAAGCAAGATACAGTGACCACACCAGGTGGGGAGAAATGTGCCAACTGGAATGACCCCTTTCCTATGGTATGCAGAATGCTTGCTACATCCCCAGGTACTAAAGGTAACCATTTCACGTTTTTTGTTTTGTTTTCTGTGTGGAACCATTTAACCTGTTCAAACAACATCTACCCTAATTCTATATGTCTTTCACTTGTTCCTTTTCTTTTGTTGTCCCCAATCCTTCTGTTCTCTCATCTCTCTTTTTTCCTATCCTGGCATTATTGAAGTGTTCCCATCTTTCCTCTCCTTGTCAAGCAGTGGCTAGTTCAGTTCATGAGACTAGCTTTGTTAGCAGTTCAAGAAATCCTTTTGTGTGTGGATCTTCCATAGTCACAAAGCTTCACTTTGAAGGATTGACCCCCAGATAAGGAGTTTCTTGAGTGGTGACTATTGCAGTATTGATCTCCCTGACTTGAAACTCTTAGCATTCCATCTAACTTACAACCATCAAGGACTGTTATCCTGTACTAACGGGAACTTTAGCTTTATTGGCAAGTTTCATCGCTCTCTTTTAGTCCTACCTCCACTCAGAATGGCAACAGGAAAAGAGAAAGCTGGCTTGCCACAAAACTTGTATGGTTCCACCTCTGGAGACCCATCTCCAGTAAGACATCTTTTACATAAACTAAATATCTTCCAAAGAAGACAATCTAAGGATTTAAATAAATCTGTTTACTTTACTCTGCTTCCAGCCAGCATGTTTATATGTTTGTAATGAAAATTTCAAAGTGCAATTTATTAGACAAGACAAGGCCTAATACAGTTTTGACTAAAAACTTGAATTTACCGCCATTCCGATCAAAATTCTATTTCCACTACTTGAATTGGAAATTAATAATACTAAGCAATTAGTAGTAATGATGTATGCAAAAAATACATAGAGAATTGAGAATTCAATATAACCCCACAAGAAATAAATATATCCTTTTGGCATGGGTTTCATTGCAGCTCTTAGACCATAAAACATGAATAAGTTTTTGGAGACTGAATTATCTTATCAAATGACTTTCTTATAGTAAAACCATAAGGCTAGGAGGGAGACAGGGTATTGAGAACAAAAATGTTCCTTTGGTCCTCAACAACAATCAACACAATGAAATGATTCTGAAGTGAAAAAGGAGTTAAACAGTAAAAATTTGTGAGATGGAAATATGGCATACCTCACCACCATGCTCCAGCACAGTGTCTTCCACAACATCGCTTAGCATCTCAATGGAACGGCAAAACCCAAAGATGCATAGTTTCCTGCCCGTATCAAGGCCCTAGAATGACAAATTCTCACATACATAAGACAAAGCACAAAAGAGAAGCAAAAAAAAAACATATAAACGATCAAATTGCAGCTTAAACAATAGAAAAAATAGTGAAAAGGTTTGTTTACATTTGTTGCTGCAATATCAAAGAGAGCACCTAGACACAAACCCTGCTCTGTATCCATGTAATCACTCTCCTGAAATCGCTGAAATCTTTGATTAGCCTTTGACCTCCCTTGCTTCTTCTGTCAAGCATACACATTCAACTAGATGATTTAACAAACAACTTTAGTACTCAAAATGGAGTCTGAAGATTTAATAATATTTAGGCCTCGAAAACGCTATACTGTCATACTAATTTCTCATTGTAAGCAATATAATCATAGCCCATAAGGGTCAAATACAACATAAAAACAGGGGCAGACAGATTACTAAAGTAAGAAACTTTATGCTTTAGAGAAAACAATTAAGATAACATACATTTGAGGAAGTGACACGTCTAGGGACCATGGAGCCTCCAATCTGAACGAGCCCATCAGTAGTGAACAATGTGACTCTCTCCTCAGCAACCCATTCAATTTCTGTCAAACATGGAAACCCAAAAATATTAAAATGAAACCCAATTGCTTGGAAATGATATTTTATTATTTATATATGAACATGATGTAAAGAAGGGTATCTACCGGAGTCATTGGACCAAGGAAAGAAGCCGAAGAGATCGTCGGGTAAGGAATTGGACGAATCGGAGGAGGATTTGGCGCGAAACTGGAGAAGGCGAGAGGGGCAAGGATGGGAAATTGGGGATTTGGGAGGGAAAGCAGCGGAGAGAGAAGAGAAAGATGAGTCCTTGGCGCGAGAGAAGGAGGGGAAGGAAGAGAAGGGTGAGAAGCAAAGAGCAGCCGAGGTTTCAGCCATTGAAGAGAGGAAATTGCAGAGAGAGAGAGAGAAACGGAGAAGAAAAGAAAGGAAATGACATGAAAGAAAGAAAAAGGAAAGGGAAAGGAGGCGAGTTTGACGCCACATGTGGTGGATGGCCACGTGTAACAACCGGACGTTTAATTCGTTGCTAACTTGTACACATGCCACATTGTTGGATAGGAAGCTTCAAAGTTCAAAACTCGATCTCATCGTCATGTGCGACGGACGTTAGCATTTAAATTATCTAGTTTATTAGGAGGAGATCGAACTCGAATGTAAAAAGATTATAATACTATTCTGACAAACTAGCCAAACTAATATCTGCATATAAAATTTTGAAGCTTGATAAATATTTGGTTAGATTCGTAAAAGCATATTAATATGTCACGTGTTTAATCTCTTTTCTAAAGTTATAATACTATTCTGACCAACTAGCCAAACTAATATCTGCATATAAAATTTTGAAGCTTGATAAATATTTGGTTAGATTCGTAAAAGCATATTAATATGTCACGTGTTTAATCTCTTTTCTAAAATTTACAATTTTATACAAGCTAATATTACTGTATTAGTGGCATGGATTCTGCAAGAGGGATTGAAACCATATTATTCTAATGTGGAAGGGTTGAGAATCCGAGATGAAGTTTGTTGGATCTATTCAATAACGACGGGTTTGATTATGTCTTTTGTGCTTTCTTCTTATCAATTACAGTATCATTCATGTCTTTTCGTTGCTGCAAAGTGGCTTTCCTAATGTTTTCTACAAAGGGCACCGTCATTGTGATGGGGTTATTATTTGGATTGATATGGTTGACTTGATTTATTAATCCTAAGCATGATTGTGTGTTTTGCCCTTGCTTCGATGGATCCTAAATTAACACAATTTTTTAATACATGTATGACAACATATATGAATACAAGGAGACTATTTTCTCTAAAAAATTCTAAATCCTCTCACGTTACAACCAAACGACGTTAAAACAACCGTTTTAACCAAACGATGTTAAACAACTGTTTTAGATTAAGGAGCCAAGCCATGCTCTTATATTAATAATACATTTTCATATTTTGTGGTAAAAACAGAATGTAGCTAGAAAAGAAAATGCTATATCACAACTAACCCTCAAACTCCATGAATATGGAGGAAGGAGGGCAAGAAAACATACAGAGAGCAGATGTAAGAAAGAAGCTCATAACCTTATATTATTTCATTAGAGTATAACCTAAAAGCCCAATCTAGTATCTTAGTAGGCCTAGCGACATCTCAGCCCACAGTTATTTTGGGTACACAGAGGCAGGCAAGCGAGGTTTGGCTTGTGCAAACAAAGGGCTAGCCTTCTTCAAGTAAATCTGATCCTCAGTGAAGTCAATCTTGTCCACATCTGGCGGCAAGCTCCATGAAAACCCTTGCAGGAGCCTTGCAAGGAGCATCACAACTATGGTGGAGCCGAGCCCAACGCCCATGCAGCCTCTCCTTCCAGTAGAGAAGGAAACGAACCTCAGGTCATTCTCTTCCAGGTCAACTCGTTGGTCAACAGCTCTACTCAGATGGCGTTCTGGGTTGAATCTCAATGGCTCTTCCCACACTCTAGGGTTGCGCCCAAGCCCTAAGCGGCTTAAGATGACATTGCTGCCCTTAGGGATGAAGTAGCCTGCCACTTCAGCATCTGCGATGGACACGTGGGGGAGGTTGAATGGTCCAACTGGATGCAACCTCATAACTTCTTTTGCACATGCCCTTATGTAAGGGAGGTGAGGGACATGGGATTCTTGAACAAGAGTCTTTTTTCCCACTACCCTATCTAGTTCCTCTTCTGCCTTTTTTAGCATCTCAGGTTGGTTGAGCATTTCTGTTAGAGCCCACTCTGCTACATTGAATGGACTGTCCACTGTTGAGAGCTGCAGCTCCTAATCATCCACAAGATATTTATGATCAGTTGGGTTTTTTTTTTTTTTTGGTACTAATTAATATTTATGTTTAATATCATCCAAAAATTCATTTTAGGTTCAGAATGAAGCATTTATTGGGTGTAGTGTTTAATATATCATCCACTTGTACTTATGCAATGATTAACATGTCTCATCTCGATTCACAGTTTGACAACATAACATATAAGCATTTTATATGTTACTAAATTTACGATAAGATAAATATATAGTATAACAATAGATTGTTTACCGTGGTTTGCGCTTTGATCTCTTCATCTGATAATAAGGGTTGTCCAATTGCATCTTTGAGTGAGATGAAAACATCAAGAAGGTCATCAGGTTCATTCCTCTTGCCATCTCTCCATTCTTGTAACCTCTCATTCACAATAGGTTCTTGATGCTTCTTGACAATGTTCATAGCCTTCCTTACCTTTTTCTCGTGCCCATCGATGTCAAAAACTCTCAGCCAAGGAAGGTATGTCGTCTATTATATGTAAAGACGACGGTTTTTTATAAAAAGGGTCGTCTATTATATGTAAAGACGACGGTTTTTTATAAAAAGGGTCGTCTATTATATGTAAAGACGACGGTTTTTTTTTATTATAAAAAAGGGTCGTCTATTATATGTAAAGACGACGGTTTTTTATAAAAAGGGTCGTCTATTATGAAGTAAAGACGACG